CACGTGGCGGCCCAGGCGTTGACAACCTCTGCCCCGGCCGCGTGGCCCCCCACCGCGGCCACCCCACAGGGCGCCTCTCGTGGGTCCCAATGAAGTCTGGGGAGCCGGTCAGCGAGGAAATGCGCCTTTCTGGACACAGCGCGGTGATGGAGGTGGCTCTGGGCCAGCAGAGCAACTTTCTGGGGTCCTCAGAGGCAGCGACCCTGTTCCTCTTTCCCATCTCACCGCGCCTCCAGCCTCAGGCGCAGAGGCCAGATCTCCAGGGATCTGGGAGCGAGCCCCGAAGCTGCTTCCCAGCCACCCTCTCCCCAAACCTCCAGGGACCCTGGAGTCCCATAGAGCCTGGGCTCTGGCAGGCCTGAGGTTCCTTCATGGGGAGGTAACAGGCATCCAGCCAGATCCTCATGCAGGGTTGCCCCCCACCTCGGGGCCCCACTTCCACTCATGGGGGAACCCTGCTCCAACCAGGGTCCGGCACCTGCAGGAATCTCTCCAAGGAGCAGCAGATGGGCCCCCCGGATATTCAAGACCCTTTAGCCTGGGAGAGAATTACAGTCCCCTCCCCCCTTCCATTGCAGCCCCAATTTTAATTTTTTATAGATTGATTTTTAGAGAGAGAGGGAGGGAGAGAGAGAAACATCGATTTGTGGCCCCGCTTACTGAAACATCGTTGCTTGATTCTTGCATGTGCCCTGACTGGGGATCGAACCCAGAACCTTGGCATACGGGGACAACTGATGCCCTAGCCAACCAAGCTATCCAGCCAGGGCTGCCTGCCGTCCCAATTTTAATGCCCAACGTTGACGAACGGGTTTCACACAGCCCATCCTGGAAGAAATAGTCCACCCAGGAGCGTCTTCTCTCAGCCTGGAAGGCCTCGCCGGGGGAAGGGAGATGACGTTTTCACAAAATCAAACACTACCTTGCCTCCCTCTCTAAATTTTGGGGACCCTCAGCCCCCTCCTCTAACTGGCCAAGGGCTTGAAGGCTCCTTAGCTCGCCCCCTTTTAAAGACAGAGACACGAAATGTCAGGCACTCGTGTTACGCTTTATAGTTTAGCCGAAGCGAGGACTCTCCGTATCCCTTATTTTTGCTCGTTCAAGGCGCTCCCTGAGGCCGCAGGGTGGGTCCATGTGAAATGTTACTTTTCCGCCGGCAGGCAGGCGGGGAGGGCTCAGACCCTAACAGGCTGGCCGGGCTCCGAAGAAGGGGCGCTTGTTTGAGCGCCCAGGGCCTTCCTCCTACAGGGAAGGGGGACCAGACAGAGGGGGCAGGACCTCACTTTACAATCTCATCATGTCTGCGACGCATGCCGCCAACCCTTCCAGAGGAGACGGGTTTCTGGAAAGTCTGTGGCTAGAACCGGAAGCCAATCTGCTTCCCGAAAACACCAGCGACAAAAAGAAAGAAGTGGCGGGTGGGGAGGGGGGACGAGCGTCATGCAGGGGGTCTAGTCTCTGGGGGCGAAGGGGCCTTTCCATGTGGGCGGCACCAGCTGCTCTGCAGGTTCCCGGGTGTCACAACGAGGACCCCGTCGGTCGCCCTGCACGAGCCCCGCTGGTCCAGAAACTCGGGTCATCAGGGGCTGCCCGGGTCCTTGAGGCCTGACCGCTCCTGCCAGTGCCAGGGACGTTGCAGCTGGGAAGAGACGCAGAGACAAAATGCAATTAGAAGAAGAAAGAAATGGCAGGAGAGCTCGTACGTGGGAGGAAGGAAAAGGGGTCCTGGGAGGCAGCCGGAGGCTGCAGGGTGGTTTTAAAACAGACGTTCCCTCCTGGAGCTTAGAGGCACCCGGTGTCTGAGCTGTGGACCCAAGTGCCCCCCCCCACCCCGCCTGCTGGCCTGTCTGAACCAGTCAGCACCCAGTTTGCGGAGAAGTGACCATCGCCACTCAGGAGAGCTGTTCGGAAGCCCACCCATAGGAGTGCACCCCGGGAAGCCAGCACTGCCCCCCTCCGCCACTGCCCACAGGCACCGGGTCCCCCCATCCTGGCCCAGGCTCCTTTCCCTGAATTCTTCAGACCCTCCCTCAGGCGACGCCACGGAGAGCTCGAGGTCAGGTTGGCTGTGTCCAAGCTCGAGGGGCATTCGGCACCCCTCACCCCGAGCGTAGCCAGCTGAGGGTCCTGCGGGCCAGGCCCAGCAAGCTCCCAGTCAGCCCCTGGGGACCCAGGCAGAGCCAGAAGGCTCAGCCACGCTGGTCCAGAGCAGCTGGAAATGGCGAGAATCGCCCTTCTCAGCTGCACCCTGCTGGCCAGAGCGGTCAGAGCAGGCCCGGCCACGGGGTGCTGGAGGTGGGGATGGGTTTCTCTCCTCTCCCCTGGTTTTTCCCCCTCACCTGCATGCAGGACGGAAATGAGCCAGAAGATTTCTTAGCTTTCGTATCCGCCCCTGGACCAAGACACAGGAGTTAAAGTAGGATGTCCGGGTACCCCAGGCCCGTGCAGGGTCCCCAGGAAACGGATAGAGCACCAGTGAACACAGCTGACCCCCGGCTACCAAGGCCCCGGGTCCCAATGGGGGCACGTCAGGTGGGAG